CGTTATCATTTACGTATCATTATCATTACCATTGTTATTGTTATTGCTGTGGCTCTTGTTACTCTTATTAATAACATCTTTATCATTATTGTCATTATTATTAGTAGTAGTACAGTTATTACTGTTACTACTAATATTAGTTTTAGCATTATCATTATAATTATTATTATGCCTATTATTATCTTTACCACTATTATTGTTATTGTTGTTATGATTATTACTATCATTAGAACCATCATTCTTTTATCATTATCATTATTATGATCCTTATTATCATTATTATCATTATGATTATCATTACTATCACTTTTACGATTGCATTTATATGTATTGTTATTATTACCATTATCATAATTGCTGCATTTGATATCATTTTTCATTACAGTTTGTATATTTACGTATATTTTAGATGGTTTTCATTTAACACAGAAATTCTCAAACTTTTTAGTACCGTTACCCCAGACAGTGCTATGATAAATCTCTTGTTCCATTTCTATTGTTTTGTGAAGTTAGACGAAAAAAAAAAAAAAAATTCCCCTTTTTATGTAATCAAACAAGAATCCAGACAATATCCCTTTGACAAAAATTAATCAAATTTAATTCATCGTTTCTTTTGCTACATAATGGAATTAGAATTTTATTTCTCTGGTAATTAAGAGAAAACATACTATTGTTTCTGTATTGTCAGTGGGAAACATGGTACTGTTTGTCCTTTGTTAAAATACCAATCTACAATAAATACTTTATCATCATTTCTATATATGTATAACTGCCTATATATATAACTTATTTAAATATATATTTATCATTATTTATTATTTATATATATATTTAATTCACTCTTCTTCGTCTTCTTCATTGCCTTAATCCCTTCTGCATTCATTATTTCCATTCATCCATTTGCCCCAAAGAACTATTATCTTTAGAAAATCCCTCGATACCCACTGGAAACTACTCCATTACACCCAAAAGGGTAGTTAATTCACCCCCAGTTTGAGAACCACTAATTTAGCAGTCCACCTCCTCCTCGTTAAAGACCACTATTATGAATCAAATTACTGTTGCATAATCATATACTCTACCTGATGTATTGTGCTATACATCAGGTAGAGAATATGTAAGATTTTTTTGTGTATCTTTGAGTGTCTGTCTTCAGTCTTTGTCCATAAGAGCGCTTTTCAACAGGTGAGTCAATAAGCATAGAAGAAAATGTGGTGTAAGGGAGTTGTGTGTTTTAAATAATAATATATGTTCAGTAAACTTTTTACATTTTCTAATTTCCTTCATTTCCTATAAAAAGATAGATAAATAGATAGATTGATTAATTGGTTTGATAGACTGATTGCCTGATAGAAAGGTGTGTATGGATAGATAGATGGTTGGATGGATGGATAGGTAGTCAGTTATAGGTATGAATATAAATATGGACGTGTAAGTAAAATATATTGATCTATTTTTCACAGTACATATACGTAATATATATTCGTTCATTTTGATTTTGATTTGTGTGCGTGTGTGTGTGTGCGTGTATCCATGTGTGCGAGCGTGCGTACGTGTATGTGTGTGTGCGTGTGTGTGTGTGTGTGTGTGTGTGTGTGTGTTGTGTGTGTGTGCGAGCGTGCGTACGTGTGTGTGTGTGTGTGTGTGTGTGTGTGTGTGTGTGTGTGTGTGTGTGTGTGTGTGTGTGTGTGTGTGTGTGTGTGGTGTGTGTGTGTGTGTGTGTATCTCGAGCATGTCCTCCGCAGCCAGCAGAGTTCCGAGAAATCCCAGAGCAGCGCCCGGCGAGGCCCTTGCGAGGGAGCTGGGCAACCTCATACGGCGACGCCTCCATCCTCGTCCATCACGATGTCCAAAACGCCACCTCGCCTCGATAGATCACCAGCGGTAACCTTCGTAAAATTCATCTCAGAAGGAGGGGTTTGCGCGGGAGGGGAGAGAAGTACATGGTGTTTTGAGAGGGGAAAGGAAAGACGGGGGACTTGGATTGGGTTGTGAGGAGAGGGGAGGAGGGGGAGAGAGAGCGCTGCACGATGTGGGTGTGATTCGCTGTGATGTAATAATGGAAGATACGTTGAGGAACTAACTCTCAATATTACGGTGGAACTACGCGAGATAAAGTACACAAAACGCTATGCAAATGAGGTTAATTTTCACCTCCAAGACTTCAGACAGAAAGAGGATGAGAACACACGATCTGGAATGTATTCAGAATTCCCCGAACTATCCTGACTTAAGCACAGTATTTTTAACAGGTCCTTCAAGACACGCAAAACAACCACACCATTTCAAAACTATTTTTACAGGCCTTAAGACACGAAAAACAACCACACCCATTTCAAACCCCACCAGACTTTCCCCAACCACGAGCCCCAACCCTTTCCTCCCTTGCAATGAGCGGGGCAATCCTCGGAGGACAAAGGGAACGGTGATCTTACGAGGACAAGTGGAAAGAGATAATGACGACGCCGCGGTGGAGGTGGAATCACGCTCTCGCCTCCAACTTTGCTACAGCTAACCAGGCGCCTTGGGCTGTTCCGTCCTCCGTCATTACAAGTCCCTCCCTTCGCACCCGGTTCCCTCTCCCTAGCCCCTCCTTCGCCCATACCCTTCTCTTACACATAATGTGTGTGTGTAGGTGTAGGTGTGTGTGTGTGTGTGTGTGTGTGTGTGTGTGTGTGTGTGTGTGTGTGTGTGTGTGTGTGTGTGTGTGTGTGTGTGTGTGTGTGTGTGTGTGTGTGGTGTGTGTGTGTGTGTGTGTGTGTGTGTGTGTGTGTGTGTGTGTGTGTGTGTGTGTGTGTGTGTGTGTGTGTGGTGTGTGTGTGTGTGTGTGTTGTGTGTGTGTGTGTGTTATTCTGTATGTGTCTGAGAATATCATCATTATCATTATTATTAATATTGCTATAATTATATATTATTAATTATCAATTATCATTATTATTGTTATTGATAACAATTTCATCTTTATTATTACTATTGATGTTACTATATATTATTATTATTATCATCAATGTTATCATTGTTTATTATATATTATTATTTTCAATTATATCATTATCATTTTCTATGTCACTATTATATTTACTATCATTATATTCGTTTACTTTTATTTCATCTTTGTTTTCATTACATTTTCATGCATGCATTATTAATTATTATTAGATTATTATTATTATTACATTATTATTACATTATCATTATCATTATCATTATCATTATCATTAGCATTATTATTATTTATTATTATCATATTGTTATTATTATTATTATTATTAGGTCATTATCATTATCATTATCATTATCATTATCATTATCTATTTTCATTATTACATCATCATATCATTATCATTATTATTTATTATTACCATTATTATTACTTGATTATTTATGATTATTATTGTTATTGTTGATTAGTATCATTTTTATGATTATTATTGCTACAATAATAATAATAATCACTATTACTATTACTATTACGACCGTTATTATCATTGGTAGTTGTTATTATTGTTATTGTTATTATAGGTATTATTATTATCTTGTCTTTTTTTATCTATTACTAGTTTCACCTTCACCTTTATCGTTATCGTTACTGTTATCATTATCATTAAAAATCATAACAATATCAACAACGGCAAGAACGACGACGCAGACGATCAACGACGACGATCACAACGGCGACAGCAACTACGATGACGACGACGATAACGACCACAGCGACGGCGATGACGGCGACGATGACGGAATAATAACGAGGACGACGACGGCAACAACGACGATGACGGCAACGATGAGGCGACAGATAACGAGGACGACGACGACGGCAGCAAATACGATGACGATGACGATGACGACGACGACAATAAAGACGAACGACGACAATAAAGACGACGACGACGACGAACAACGACGCGAAGACGACGAGCAAACACGATGACGATGACGACGACGACAATAAAGACGACGACCACAACGATGACGACGCGGCAACACGACGACGGCAACAAATACGATGACGACGACAGTAAAGACGACGACGGCCACAACGACGACGACGGCCATAACGACGACACGACGACGACGACGGCGGCAACTACTATGACGACGGAAATAATGGCTTACACTCTGACGCAAAACTGTCTTGTTAGCCGCCTGCCTTCACACAGGACTCTTCATTTGAAATATTTTCTGCAATTATTTTCATCGTTTTTTGTAAGTACGTGACAAGACATACAGAAAAAAACGGGCGCCCACGTTTTCATTTACATGTTTGTCGTGTTTTATAGTGCATATACACTTATGCCGTACATACATACATATGTTTGAGCGTGTGCGTGTGCATTTGTGTGTGTATATAGACGCAAGTGTGTATGTAGTGAGATACTGTGAAAAGAGATAATTCATGTAGCTACTTCAAGTGTACTGATGGCAGACCACGACATGATGCTACTCTTTAGGTTCACATGAACTGATATGATAGTGAAGATGCTATTTGAGATGGTTGCCGGTTCATACCTTCAGTATCCTTTTGTGTCAATCATTATATTGAGGCATATCTCGATGTTATTTTTTCCCTCTACACTTGAGAAAGATTAACAAATTACAATTCGTCTTGCCTCCAGTAATAAAAAATGACAAGTAGTGGTTCCAGTTCAATCTTAGCTTCTTTTCTAGAGAGAGAGCGCCCAACAGTGCCTAGGGTAAATGGCACAGAAAAAAAAATGAAGTCTCATTTCGTGTTTCAGGCAATTTCTTAATTCTTTACATGTCCATTTAATTGCTTTTCTTTTCTTTAATTAATTATTCAAATAATTATTGCCCAAAGCTTCTTTATGATTAAGCATCATTTTTGAGTGGCTAGAAACCAACTCAAATTATTAAATTATAGCGAGTGTCAATCAAAATTATTATTCTTCCAAATAGAATAACCATATGGTTATCTATAACATAAAATTTTACAAAAGGTTACTGCAACAAATAAAGGTAAATGAAAACAATTTTCTACACTTAGACCTAATATTCTTATTACAACACTGACATAGAAATCTTTTCAGAATGTATGAATAATGACAATAACTAAATCAGTAACTGAATAACAGAAATAACTAGCATATTCCAAAGTCACAAACGTAGAATAACAATTACATAAAAGAGTTCAAAAAACATTTCTTCTTAGATAAATTTGCCATAACAAAATAAGCAAGTTAAAACAGGAATGTACAACTAGTTAAAATTCACCAGGATTTGGACAAAGTTTGTACTATATATAAAGATCTAGAAGTTAAACCAATACCTATTTACATTTCTTTGGAACCAAGGAAAGTAAAATACAAGCAAACAAGATCAAATACCAAAATTGCAATTCATACCTTGACTTGTTAATAAGCTAATACCATAAATCTTTACACATAATAAAAAAAAATACTCTAAATATACAATTATCTCCCTAATTTATATTATTAATCCTTTTAAATACTTTGATGAAACCCAAAAAATAATTCTTATAACCAGGAAATCCCATTCTTTAATAAAAATCTTCAATATTACTGTTCCCAGAATCCTTCTTGTTCTTGATCTGGTCTTGGCTATTGTACAAGTCTGCAATCTGAAAAATAGAAATAGATTAAATATAAGTATATATACAAGTATAAATGAAGCCATGGTAACGGTCAAGATGAGGAGGAAATAAATGAGGAAGAGGAAGAATAGGAGGATGAGGGGGGAGGAGGGAGGAGGAGGGAGGGAGGGAGGAGGGAAGAGGAAGAGGAGAGGATGAGGAGAGAGAGAAATGAGGAAAAGGAGCAGGAAGTAGAGGAGGGGAAGGGGGGGAGTAGGGTAGAGAGAGAAGGTAGAGAAGAAAGGGGGGGAAGGAGGAGGAGGAGGAGGAGGAGGAGGTGGAGGAGGAGAGGAGGAAGAGGAGGGGAAGGAGGAAGAGGAAGAGGAGAAGGAAGAGGAAGAGGAGGAGGAGGAGAAAGTAGGATATGATATGGAGGTTGTTAAGGAGGCAGCAAGAGAAGTAAAGAGGAGGGGAATATGATAGGAGGAAGAGGAAGTATAGTAATAGGAAGAAGAGGAAATACAGAACGAAGGTAGAAGAGGGAAAGGAAGAGGTGAAGAAGGTAGAGGAGGTGGTGGCATGAAGCAAGCAGAGGGTGTGGCAGATAAAGCAAAGGAAGAAAAGTTGCAGGAGGAGAGGAGAAGATGGAGGAAGAGAGGAAGGAGGAAGAGAGGAAGGAGGAAGAGGAGGAGGAGGAAGAGGAGGAGGAGAGGAGAGGAAGAGAGGAGGAAGAGGAGGAGGAGGAAGGAAGGAGGAAGGAGGAAGAAGGAGGAAGGAGGAAGAAGGAGGAAGGAGGAGGAAGAGAAGGAGAGAAGGAGAAGGAGGATGAGGTGGTAGAGGAGGAGGTGAAGGAGGTGGAGGTAAAGGAGTGGAGGTAAAGGAGGAGGTAAAGGAGGTAAAGGAGGGAAAGGAAGTAAAGGAGGTGGAGGTAAAGGAGGGAAGGGAAGTAAAGGAGGTGAAGGAGGTAGAGGTGGTAGACAAGGAAGAGGAAGAGGTGAAGAAGGTAGATGAGGAGGAGGGAGAAATGAAGAAAGTAGTTGAGGAGGAGGAAGATATGGAAAAGGTTGATGAGGAGCAGCTAGAGGCGGAGAAGGTAGACAAGGAGGAGGAAGAGATGTTGAAGGTAAAGGGTGAGGAAGATACAAAAGAAAGAAGTGTAAGAGGAGGTAGAAGTGAAGGAAAAAGGGATTTACATATAAGGGAACAAAAAGAATTAAAATGACAAAGATACCACAGAAACTAAGACAAATTGAGATCAGTAGAGTCAGCCATAATGAATAAAAATAGCAATTCCTACATAAAGTGACTTTTTACCTGTGATGCACTGGTGGCCTCTTCTGGCTTTTTATCATCCCGAATTCTGAGGAATCTTGGGAATCTGAGAGAA